TCACTGTTTATATCTTGCACCAACTCTGTGACAAAATATACACTGAGCTCAACCTGACAAATGCTGAGTCCTTAGTTCATCCTGCTACCAGCATTGAATAAAAAATTCTTGCGCCCAGCTCCTCAATGGAATCGCTTTAACCTGCTAATTCACCAAGCACATTTCCTGGCCTATTGTGTTTTAAAGAAGATGGGAGTTTTTTTAATGCATTTCAGAAAAGTGTGATCTATACTGAAAAGCTGTATTTATTCAATACCACTTGGTAGTTACATTAATGGAGAAAAGAATTCAAGTTGATACTGTTAAGACTTTTAATTATTTTAAACTGTATTACAGCATCGCAATGCACAATACAATAAATCGCTACCTTTGTCTTCTGCATAATAATGTTCACCTCTCTGTCCAGCAAATTAACAATAGTAATAATAATGAACTTTATTGTATATAGCACCTTTTAAGGTGGCTTCTCAAAGCGCTTTACGGGATAAAAACAACAATAACAACAATTATTTCACTGCACTTTGACAGATCGTCTTTAAATCAATTGTTGTCAGAACTTCCATGTCTCCAAACTAACAAGGGCTTTGAGAATGCCCGTGGGCTTTTCACTGATAAACTTGTGTTAACAAAAACACAATTTGCTTTCGAGTTGTTAAACCGGTTTTTATCTATTTATCGGCATAGCCAGCCGGCTGTCAAGTGGTATTAAATGCATCTTTTTTGTATAGATAACTTTGCTCAAGCATATTTAAAAATAAAAACGATTACAATTGGCATGCCTGTAGCTTTTTCATGAAACCTCCTAGAGTTACGAAAACACTTGCTTTGTGTCACATTGTGACTGTTTTCAATGTGAAATGTGAACTGAAGAGTTAAAGTGTAAAGTGTTTCCTCTTTTTAACAGGAAGAGACGTGCTTCCATAAGAATCAAGTAATAGGTTTATTCCATGCTGAAAAAAAGAAGAAAGAAAACACATTGAATAAGAATCAGCACCTTTATATAGCGCCTTTAAAGGTGGCTTCTCAAAGCGCTTTACAGGATAAAAACAACCATAACAACAACAACAACAATATTGTATTTCATTGCACTTTGACAGAT